GGATACTTCTTACAAGGCATATTACAAACATAGCAGATTTTCGACAAAATCAAGAATATATCACAGTTTTAATTTACCGGAATGATGGAAAAACAGTATATACTATCCACGTAAGTTTTATAATGAATTTTTTTATTCAATTTATCTTCAGTTACCAACAAATATATTATAAAATCCTGTTTATTAGATGATCCGCCACCGTATATCGATGGTGTGAGAATAAATAGCCCACATTACTTGTGTAAAATCAAACTTGGTGATCAGAGTGGCGCAAAATATACTTTGGTCATATCTCAATATGAGAAAACAAATACTATCTATTACACGCTCCGTGCATATGGAACATGTCCGTTTATATTACGGAAAATACCTCAACTTTATAAATATCATATTTTTAGATTGTCCTATTCTTAGATTAATTTATTATATATTAACGTGATCTTTCATAGGTCACAGGTCAATGGAAGAACGTCACAGCAGGAGGATGTGGCAATCATCCCACTTAAGTGAATAATCCACGATATCAAATAGTGATTAAAAGCGCTAGCAATAATAATTATTTATTAATTATTTTGAAAGGACTTAAACAGTACCAAATAGGCTTTGACATTAATACCGTTGTACTAAACGATGCAAATGCAGCAACTGCTTTTAAAACAAAAAGTTCTGGACCATTTAGGTCTGTATTTTATCTGGATTGTTTCGCATTCTTTTTATAGAAATTTTATATTTACTATTTATTTTTATTTCTGTTTACAGATCCGGATTTGTATATTTGGAACTAGAAGATGTACCCGCAGGAACATACCATATTATTCCATCTATATATGTACCTGGTCAAAAAGGACCATTCTTTTTAATTTGTAAATCTTGCAACTTGCAGCTACAACTTCTTTAACAAATTAAATAAATTGTTGAACTATAAGTGCATATTTTTAAGCTGCATGTATATATAGCTGTATCATATGCGCGTACGTCGATTTGTCGTATTTGTTTCATGTGGAACTTTTTTTTTTAATTGATCTTATTCGTAATCTATCTTTAATAAAAGTTTAATTAGGCGTTAGTGACTTTTGTCATAACTATATTGTTCAATTAAAAAATTCAAATTAAAATATTATCTTAAAGTCTGGATCTTTGGATCTGACACCAAAAAAATAATTTTTCTTATAAAATTATACATGACATTATCCATTAACAAATCCTTTTCTAGTTTTAAGAACTATATATAGAAAAAAATAAAAAGTATATTAAACCGAGATTAAAGTTTGAGATAAAATCCGCATTGGTAGAAATAGACATTATAGATTATTGTTACATCTAAACGTGTTTTATTTTTGGCATTTATTACAATAAATATTTAATTAACAAAAACAAAATTAACATCTAGTAATTATTACGTGTATTTCACATAATTTTATTTTACAACTGATCCACTGGTAGATAGTATAGCCACGCAATACCTACAAAATAGAGAAGAACACGATTGCATAGTGTAGCTTTGAACCGCGGGGATACGACGACAAGAAGAAAGATGTCGTCGCAGCTAACTACCATTGGGGTAGACGAGGCAGAAAACCGAGACAGTAACATAATTATTTTTAAGTCGTATTTTTAAGCAGTAATAACCATACACATATGAACACACACATACAAAGTGAATATGTGAATATGCTACGTTTCTTATACATACATGAAAACATAATTGCTAAATAAACATTTAATAAAACTATTATATTGTTGTTATTTATTCATACTTACCAAATCAAGTTTTATTTAAAATATGTATAATCTACTGTAACTGTAAATAAATATATTATTTACTGTATAATTAAATGCTGGTACATTCAAGAAATTTGTAATTCTGACCTGAAATTTATATCCTGTCTAAACTACACATGCATGTTTAAATTGATGTTTTACCTAGTTATTGCTCCAATAATGTTTAAATAAATTATAGCTTTAGTTTTTAACGCAGGAAAAGAAAATTTAACGTTTAAGCGCTAACCAATGTTGATGCATTTTTCTGAAGAAATACTTACATATTAATTTTGTTGCATATTTGAAATCTAAAATCCGAGCAATGCTAGAAGCACTTTCATTATCTTCAATGTGTCAGGTATTTTAAAAAAACACTAAATTTATCTTTAAAAATAGGCAAAATTCAAGCAGCTGTAACTTTGTTAAAAATGAACAAAATTTAAATTAAAAAAAAAAAAGGATTTTAAAGTTTGAAATCTCTACTGTTAAAAGTTTTTATCGTGGATTGAATAAGTAAGAAATGACCATTTTGACTTTGATTGCTCATAACTTCCTTAAAAATCATCGTATTGCAATTTAAAAAACAGATTCTTAAAGCTGAAACTTTGCTTTATTGAACAAATTGCCAAATTTTTTTAATAACAAATAGACATCCCAGATAGCACAGTTGATCTTTATGAATTCATAAAGATCAGATTCAGATATTTTTGAATTCATAAAGATCAGCTATGCTATCTGGGATGATACAAATGGATGAAAATAATGTAAATTATTTTTAAATGCAGAGTACTTAAAAGTACAAAAAAACATAAAGAATAAATTTATTTTATTTGTATCGTGTTTACATCTTATTAAAAAAAATTTGGCAATTATACCGTTCTATAAAGCAAAGTTTCAGCTTTAAGAATCTGTTTTTTGAATTGCGATTTTAAGAGAGTTATGAGCAATCAAAGTAAAAATCCTCATTTTTTATTCCAATCTACGATAATTCAGTAACAAAAAAATCATAGAAATATTAAAAAAAAAAAAAAAATTTTGCAAGGTTTTACCAAAAATCGCAATTTCTTTTTATAAAACGGAAGCAATCGAAAACTTATTAAATTTTACTGGTACTCGGTATAACGAATATTAATCTAGATTATACATATTAAATAAAACTTGACATGCAGTAAATAACAATAATGGTTATATTAAATGTTTATTTAGCAATTATGTTTTACATATTTACTTTATATGTGTGTGTTCATATGTGTATGGTCAGAGGTAGGAATATATATATAATATTATTACTGCTTATTAAAAATACGGCTTACAAATAATTATGTTACTGTCTCGGTCTTCTGCCTCGTCTACCCCAATTGCCCCAATGGTAGTTAGCTGACAAGAAACTCATAAATCTTTCTTCTTGTCGTCGTATCCCTGCGGCTCTGCCTCGAGGTCTTCGAACTGTAAATATTTATATATTATTTTTGGAAAAAGTTGATAAGAAATAATTTTTACAAGCAACATAATATAGATGCATATTTTACATAAAAGCAATGTCCGGTAATGTATATATTATATATTAACAACTTCAGACACATTTCTTTATAAGGCATAATTTTTTTCTATTAAGATTAAGATGCGTAACACTACAAAAAGGCGTGATATCCGTACAAAATTACCTTTTTCAAAAAAAGGTAAAAAAAGGCGCCAAGTACACGCATAGTAGTGTATATGTTGTTACCTCGAAAAAAAAACAGTGGTAATATTATACCTAAAAAAAAATCTAAGTAACAAGTGGTAGACGCAATCTTTGTATCTCAAAAAATCTCAAAAAAACCTAATCAGTAGTATCTTTACCTTAAAAAAAAAAAAAAAAAAAAAAAAAAAAAAAAAAAAAAAAAA